CGCACCTTGTCGTGCATTAGCAGGTGCATGACTAATAGATCAAAGGAGGTGACGCTCCCCCTCTATGCGGCACTGGTCAGGCCGCAGTTGGAGTACTGTGTCCAGTTTTGGGCGCCACACTTCAAGAGGTACACGGAAAATCTGGAGAGGGTCCAGAGGAGGGCCACTCACATGATTAGTGGCCTTCGTGATAGACCCTACGGGGGGGAGGTTGAGAGAGCTGAATCTCTTCAGCCTTCACAAGAGACGGCTGAGAGGAGATCTTGTGGCCGCCTATAAATTTATTAGGGGCAGTCAACGGGGAATAGGGGATGTGCTGTTTACTAAGGCGCCCCAGGGAGTGACTAGGAATAACAGGTGTAAACTAGTTGAGAGTGGATTTAGGTTAGATATTAGGAAGAAATTTTTCACAGTAAGGGTGGGCAAGATCTGGAATGGGCTTCCAAGTGAGGTGGTGGTATCACCTAGCTTGGAGGTCTTCAAGAAGAGGCTAGATAGTCACCTGGCTGGGGTCATCTGACCTTGGTCCTCTTTCCTGCCAGGGGCAGGGGGTTGGACATGATGATCCATTGTGGTCCCTTCTGACTACAATCTATGAATCTATGACAAACATTTTGGAAAGTGCTACTCGTGTTCCTGAACTAATTCCTCTGAAAGAATTTTATTTTAGAATTTGGAAGAGCTACTCAGGAATTCATAAGGCATTAAGGTTTTTAAAACTTCACTAAAAATGTATTCTTTCTCCTCTGCCCTCAGCTCTTTAAATACTCTACCTGAGTAATCAATTAGAATGGGCTTATAGCAGGTATGGTCAGCTTCCAACTTGCAGAGCTGTCATCTGACCCACAGGACTCCCCATAGCTCTGGAAATTTGGTGACAGGGGAACAGTGGCAATGTTAGTATTGCTCCCCTGCTACTGAATTTTCAAACCGTCTGGCCGGATGAAATGGCCTTGTTTTCTGGATCGGGTTGGCAGGTAGGTCTAGAGAAGTGGGCTTGATCTACTGCACATGGGTCTGGGGTGGCAGGCCTAGTCTGGTGTGCACAGACCTTGAGGAAGCAGACCCCATCCAGCATGTGCAGGCCCAATCTAGGGTGCAGGGCCAGGGACTATGCGTCAGATTGTGTCCATCTGCCAATTCCACATGGATCAGGCCCATAGACTAATCCCGCCACTTGTGGCCTGCAGCCCAGAAAAGTCGGATAACACTGGCTTGTGATGACTGATGGGTCTATTGTGACTTAAGCTGAACTGTCAATGTTTCTTCAGTTAATTAAGCTGCTCCTTGCAGTGCTTGTCATAATTATCCCATTGCTTATGCACGCACTCCCAACACTAAAGTCCAGATCGATTAGTCCCGATTAAAAAAATAAATAAAAAAAAATCAAAGGCCTGAGGTAGCCATTGATGGGTACCTACACTTCAGAGTGTCCTCCTACCCTAGGACATGAAAGGTAGGAGACCCCTTATTCTCTTCAACCAATAAAAATGGTATTTGGAGGAAGCACAGATTCTAAAGGGGACATCTAGATGTCTGTCCTTTAGAATCCTCTTGATTTTAGCCTAGGAAAAGGTGAAGGTCCAAGATGTGTTTCTCTGACATCCTACTGAGGCATTTAACTGTGTGTCAGTATAACAAAGAGCACCTGGTATTGGAGCTTCCATTATCAGTGTCTTCCACTTAGCTGTCTGTGCTACTGACATAAATGTCAAAGGGATTTCTAATCAGCAAAGAAGAGATGATCTTTGAGAGTGAACTAATAGTTGTCCCTTGATACTGGCTGTAGCCTTGGCCTGTCATATGCATGTTCATGGCTACTTCAAGTACTATAAGAAAATACTTGAGGCTTCAATCCATGGGAATTCCTGAAGAGGGAAAAATTTAAACATTTTCTGTTGAAGTAGCTTTTTATTAGTAAGACTGTCCTTATATGCTCTAGAGAAGAGGTGTCAAACATACAATATGTGAGCTGGATTTGGCCCATGGGATTCCTGGAAGGGCCAGGATTCTGGCAGCAGCGTAAGTGGTGGTAGCAGAAACCCCTGGAGCTCCTGGTCACTTGCCTTGCCACTGAAATCCTGGGCCCTCAATAGGGGCTTATTTTGGTGGCAGCTGGGTGAGCGACAGTGGTGTTTACCGCACTCACTTGCCCTGTTGCTCAAGGTGGGTCCAGATCCAGACCATGAGGACCCTTGAGGCCCAGATCCAGTCTGTGGAGCCAAATGAGTTTGACATTTCTGCTCTGGAGGACATCTGAATGACACTGAGATGTATAGTCATTACAATCCTGCATGAAAAAAATTAAGG